CTTCAGCCTTGGCAAACACCGGGGTTTGACACACTGTCCATTCCTAGATCTAAGCTCATCAATACACTTTGGCTTTGACACTGACAGGCACTAAGTGACAGGAAACACATTTCAAACATATTCCACTGGTCCAAATCATAACATTTTTTTCCACAAGCTTTCAGTCACATAACAAGTTGATGAATCCAAACATATTTCGTATGCTATACCAACTCTTTAGCTTACTACACAAATGCTATTCACCAGCTGACCTGACACTCCAATCCACTCCTAAGTGTAAGGAAAAGTCAAGTAGAAACAACTCTGAATATCTCATCTTTTAGACCTTTTAAGAACTTTTTACAGCCAACTCCGAACCCACCATTGGAATCAATCAACGCACCAATTGCCTAATCCTTTAGATAAACAAGATTTCAAATGTATTGTTTTGACTAAAAAGCTTGTGAAGATGCACACTTTTCTCATAGAGTTGCTATAGCAACTTTTCTTTTTTCACATTACCATGATTTGAAAAGTTTACATCCTCTGCAATTTAAAGAAGTGATGTCTTGAGATAGATAGCATACCAACTACAAACATTACAAACCTCTCTGTTCACTAAATTAAAACTGCAAGGATAAGCAAAAAAACACGAACAAAAAACCCTAAACAACAATCTTCCAATACAGGCAACAAACTGTTCTACTTCATGAAGGCAACTGTGACAGTTGAAGTGTACAAGTAAGATGTAACATGAAGCATTAGATATAATTACTGTTCCATCTGCTCTCAGACCTTCCTGCTTGAATTCACTTATTTTTCTAAGGTAAGCCTGTTTCCTCTTCTCCATGCCTACCCACCCCTTCATACACATTATATTACTCTAAAACAACAGCCCACCCAGCCCCAACATTACTCTAAAACATGTAATTCCTAAATGGCTGAATTTGGGGAATGAAGAGCAGCTGTGGAGCCAGGGAGTGCAGAGAATAATTGCAGGATCCGGTAACTGATGACTCAGGAAAGCCCTGGGGACACAGGAGGTCACTGATGAGGAACTTGTGATCCTCCGACCAGTTTTGCATAGGAAAATTATTTGGCACAGTACCCACAGTTCAAAAAGGGTGTGGAAATATTGGAGGAGATTCAAAGAAGAGCCAGAAAAGGATTAATGAATAGAAATCACACCTTTCGGAGAGCAAATCAAGGAGTGTGTCCTGCTTAATTTAGCAAAGAGAGGGTAATAGCTGGCTGAGGGCACCATTACACCTGCAGGGGAATGTTCATCCTGGATAGCTTCACAACATGGCAGGGAAATGCTGCGCAAGCACCAGCGTGTGGACAGCTTTGCCAGGACAGCCCAGCCCAGGAGCAGGGTGGTTTTTTTTTTTTAACAGCAAAGTAAATGATTTGGTTATATTGCTGTATTTCTCATCACTGGATGTTTTGGAAGCAATTAACTCAAACCCGTCCTTTTTTAGGGTTATGTGATGCATCCTACTGTGTTTCTCACAGGGGTTTAAACAGGGTCATGAACTGTAGAAAATGCCTAAGAAACACCTCCTTGACTGAAATTTTATCATCTCTTCAGGCCCATGGGGCCCTGAGGGGAAGCAGACCACAAAGAATGTGTGCACGTGTGTGCAGGGGAAGGGATGATTTTTTTAGAATGTGTGAAAAATATTAGCCTAAAGGCTCACAGCAGTCTTGAAAGTTGGAGCAGAAGTGAGATAAGATTCTTTCCCTCAAAATAAGGTGCCCATGAAGACGCTGGGTGCCAAATGGGTTGGTGGACGTGGGGGGAGGCTGGAAGTGCTGGAGAAGGGGAGGTCTGGGCTGGAGTCTGGTTGGAACTGGCATCCCAGGAAGGGTGGGACTGAGGAGCACTCCTCTCCATGTCTCACTCTATTGCATCCCTTTAAAACAACGCCCTAAAGCCAGGCACCATGTCTGTAAACAAATGGGATTTTAGTTTTGATTCTCCATAAATCACTGGAGCCATTTTCTCTTTGGAGAGCAGTGTGAGGGCTGGGGTGTAATGAGCTGGTTCATGGGGCACGCAGGGAACGTTTTTATTTGACTCTTTAGGGCCCTGTGAGCCCTCAGGTTTGACTTTGAGTTTCTGTGAAAGAAAACATTTGCTGATGTAAGGGAGCCTGAAATAACTAGGAAAGCTTGGGGGCTGCTGACACTTGAATAAATCCAAATGTCCTGGTATTTGGTTAAACTTGAATCTGAATATTTGTGTATGTTTTTTACAACATTTACTTGCCCCAGGGAGCAATTTGTGGAGCTGAAATAATCCAAGAGCTTTTTTTTCCCCCCCTTTTTTTTTTTTTTTCCCCCTGTCTAGTATTTCCATCCTCTAGGAAGTGAAAAGCCTTGAGCAGATTGGATCATGCATTATTTTTACCCTTGCAAATAGTTCCCAGACACACGGAGCTCAAGCTGTGGAAAATGCACAATGTAAGACCTCAGCATGTACCCGCTTTTGAAATGCCAACTGGGGAGCTGAGACTGGACCATTCATCTCATGGATAAAGCCTCGATGGGGCCCCAGCTGGGACCACGTCACCTCGAGGTGTCTTGGCAGAAGCATGACCCCACTTCTCCCAAGCATCACCCTCTCCGGATCGCTTGAGTGGGAAGATGCATGCACCTTGGTTCCTTTGAGTTGAATTTCAGATTTCTGAGGAAACCTGGCTTCCTGACAACTTGGCTTCATCTGCTTATTATATGTAACACATAACCTCCTTAATATTACACATGGTATGTTTAACTGCTTAATTTACTTTGGGAAGTATTGCCAAGTACAGCTATTCTGTTGACATATCATTTGCATGAAAAACTAGTGTATTTTAAGCCACAAATAGGATGCTTCTGCGAGATATCTGTCTACACTTTTACAGGCTACTAACAGTATAGTATCTTCACTCCCTGAGTTAGAGAATGTAGCCCCACATCATGCCCGGGGAGGGAATGAATGATCTGTTATTCCAGGAGGAGAGCAGAGACTCACAGCTTGTCTGCATCAGGGAGGCAGATTGTGTAGCTCTCCTGAAATATATTCTTGGGTAGATATTCTCTTTGGACTAAAAATGACTTTTTTTTTTTTTTTTTTTTTTTTTTTTTTTTTTTTTTTTTTTTTTTTCTTTCAGAACAACTATTCTTGTTTGGGTAAGATTGGAAATTATGCTTTTTCTTTAGACAAGGGTGTTTCCCCTGCTGTGGGTCCAAGCCCCCACAGAGGCTCACTGAAGGACCCTGTGGCTGGTGGCGCTGACTTGGGCAGTTCTTCACATCTGCAAGTGCATTGCTGCACGGGACAGACCCACCCTGCCTCTCCCAGGTCCCAAATCCACCCCTTGAGTCCCCTCAACTCCTCCTTCTGGCATCACCCATCGGCGTGCCTGTCTGTACCCTCTACTCCCTTTTGGAGGTGGCAGACACCGCTCGGGTGTTTGTCAGCCACTAACAAGCACATCTCAGTCCTCTGTGCCCTGCTCCGTGGGGCAGCGTCACCTTCCAGCTCTTCGTCACATCAGGCTTGTAGTCACACAGCGCCCCGTAAAGCTTCGAGGCCTTTGAAAACTGAAGGCTGACATCTTGAAGTCTAATTTGACACATTTCCAACAGGGGAAGCATTTATTACATTAGACAAGTTGATGCAGCTCTCGGGTTGGGAATTGCACTTATTTGCCATAATAATGGTGTAAAGTCCTCTTCCTTTTATTGTGTTATCTCTCTTTAATCATGCAGAGACGCTCCCCAGTAATTTTAATCAAAGGCTCAAGCATCACTTATCTGAAGACTAATGACTCAACTCAATGAGAGGAGAAACTTTGAAGAGGGAGCAGTTGAGCTGGGAGGAGCGAAAAAAGGAGAGTTTATTTGAAACTTTTTTCTTTCTTTACATGTGTCATTATTTCACCTGATTTTAGATGGAAAACCTTTGTGTGTCTGGTGAGTGGGGACGAGCTGTGACTTGCTGCTTTTCCTGAACATGCTGCGTTTAGGAACATGGCTGAGAGAACGAGACATACTTTCACAAGAAAGATATTCCCAGTGGAATAAGATGATGTAGTCAAAACTGTTCTTTTCTGTAGAGAAAAATGCCAGATTGCCCAGATCTTTTTCCTTGTTCGATGAGAATATTGGAAAGATATTTGTCTTTGAATGGACTCTTTCACCTTCAAATGCCATTTCTAACAAGAAAAGGTCTTTCAGATAGAAATTCTCGTGAAGCCCCAAAACGTTGTAAAAAACCTCAAAAAGGTGATAAAAGGAATCCATGTGAGGTTTGTAAATAGGAGCTTTCTGGTGCTGATTCCTGCTATTTTCCTGAAGTAGCTCATTGTCTGTGTTGGAATGGAACTGTTCTGCTTTAGATTTCTTCATAGGCAAATCCCATGGAGCTCCTGATGCAGAGACCATCTCTTTCCACCTGGCACAAAGGCTCTGCTTGGGATTTGCTGTGATAGAGCTCTCTGTAGGTCAAGATTATCAAAAGCGGGTGCCCAGCTTGCCGTGAAGTGTGTCTCCAGCTGCCAGGGGCTGGGAGTTTTCCAGAAATTTGGCCTTTTTAGGTTGTCTTGGCTACAGTAAGTAAGAGGGACTCTTCCAAAATTGCAAATGTTGCTTGAATGACTTGCCTGGGTAGAGTAGAGGGTTTCTTAAAGACAGGTAAACGGCATCATTCCTGCTTTCTAGTTAGGGGAATTAGTGCATGGAATCTGTGTATTGTTTCAGGATCTCAACATTGAAAGGAAAATGGAGATTTCTAAGGCTCCATACAAAGCAAATATGGAGATCCTGAGC